TCCTTTTTAGAAACTGCTTTAGGGGGTGCGAGAACATATTAAACATTTTTAAGGGTACGGGACATGAATAAGCGTGATTTCATATATTACTTAAGCAATTTACTTTTTAATTATGACTGCAGTTCCAACTCTTTCTTTCGCACATAGATGGCGGCACCTGTACATGCTTGAATTTAAATATCTGCGGTTCCGTCCTGAATTTTGCCACCCTCTCCCCCCGGGATTTTATTCTCTCGCTTTAGGTCAAGGTTAAAGAGTTATCTAATTATCTTAGAATAATAGAATTTTCCCACTTAGTATGCAGATGAAAAAGAGATAATGAATGCCCTAGTTTTTTCCTTCATGATTTAAAACGCACAGAGAAAAAATTATTATTTACATATTCTGTCCTAAGGCACTACAAGGCAGGCAGGGAAGCCTTCGTGGAGGACTTTCTAAGGGAAAGGGGCTCGTATTAACACGTTATACATGGGGGAAAACACAAAAACGCCTATGCAAACAGCCTTTTGCGAGATTCAAACCTCGGACCGAACTACCAGTGTTCAGGGACTTTACCGCTCGGCCACTAATGGGTCGCACAGGTGGAAAACAAAACTGCAACTTTTTAGAAAGACTAAAATATCGAGTATTTTATTTATTAATTTTTAAATTAATAAATAAGCATTATTAACTTTTTAAAAGTTATAAATGCTTACAGTAATAACAGCATTTCTTTTAAATTATAGCTATTTTTTCATTCACAGATTTTTTTAAGGCTGTTTTTTCAAATTTAAAACTTTACTTTCTTTGCTGCGAATTAACGCTGGCGTAGTGATGTTGTAGCCAGTGTCAACATCACTACGTCATCTCTCCTCACTTCCTGTTTCAAGAAGAAAAGCTCTATGAATTCTTTTTGTAGCCCATCTCTTCTAAGACCTCTGGTCTTAGGTACCCAACCTTTTTCGGTTTGGTGTCCTTTTAGCCAAGAGGGAAAATTGAGAAAATAGTGGACTTTGAAACGAAGCAGGTTGCAATAAACGCTCCCCATTTAGCCAAGACCTCGCAACTTTGCCCCTCTTATCCCTTTGACGCGCGGTGGTCGCGCCTTGAAACCACCATTTTCCGAATTTTTTTTCTCCTCTTTTTCCGAAATTTTTGAGTGAAAATGAATTGATTGCTGGTCTTTTACATCTAAATAACACAAAATAACTGTAGAATCATATATGTTTTAGGTATTAATACTTCAGATCGGATGCCTTTTACAATGCGTTTTCGATGAGACAAAATAACTTCCTTTTATTAATATAAACAACTTTAAATTTCAAAAGTTAGTCATCGCACATCATGATTTTTATCATAAACAAAAAAAAAAAAAAAAAAAAAAAAAAAAAAATGCAGTAATTAAACTGCATATATAAAAAAACCCCTCTATATGTATGGCATTTGCTATGTGGTTTCAGGGTGCGACCATTGCGCCACTAGAGCATTGTGTCACAATGCTTACAACCCTCTAGAGGCTCGGTGGTCGCGCATTGAAACCACTGGCGTTTGCTTCTCAATGGCGTTCGCTTGCTTTTCAAATTGGAATGTTTATTTTTACCGGATATAGATAAAGGGCTTGAAACCACAGAGTTATTTTATTACTAAGAATACATGCACCTGCCCAGTAAAAAGGTTTTCTTTCCAAATACTTTCTCTGACATCAACACACTTGCTTCCCAAGCTAGTATTGTGATTTTATAAATTATTTCCTATGGTTTAAATTAATGTAAGTAATTGAATCCTATGGTTTAAATTAATGTAAGTAATGTAGTAAATTGAAATTGCGTAAAAGTTTTATTTAAATTAAAAATATTTTGAGACGAAATACGAATAAAATAAGTATGAATGGAAAACGAACGATCCGTACAAAGCCAAAAAGACCAAACCACCCCCCCCCCCAATAACATAAAAAACACAAATTTCATGTGCCAGATGAAAGAAACTACATACGCTGGACATATACCAGTGAATTTTAAATCCAGCAGTGTACATTTTGTAGCACAAGGAAGAAACCTCGTAGAACAAGAAAACTTGCAATGTGGGTCTATGCATGTACCAAAGAGACAAAACATGCTTTGAACAATGTCACAAAAAAAAAAAAAAAATTGTTCTTTGAAATTAAAAAAAAACACTGAGTTCTTTTTTATCCTTATTTTATTGAGTTTCTTAATCCATTTATCCAAATGTCCTTATTATGTAGGTACTTATATTTTGACTGCTATAGAAAAATTACATAAATGTTTATTTTTTAATTTTGTCTGACGATTCACTTTCTAAAATTATGTAAAAAAAAATTATATATAATGCAATTCTTACATACATTTTTTTAAATCCGTAAATTTCGTCATTTATTGGAAACGCGCGCGGAAAATGTTAAGTTTTTTTTTCCTACTACATCAATAGTTTCAAAGTCCTAGACGCGCGGTGGTTTCACAGTGCGACCACCATCCACAGAACAATGGGCAAGAGTAGATTTTTTAAAATTCATATATTATTTGTCTCTAGGATCATAATATTCATTTCTAGAGGTTTTAGTTAAAAAATTATAAAAATAATATCGCGCGCGTCAAAGGGTTATTCCGGCTTTAACTTTTTCTTAAATCTGATGTCTTAAACTGGCTCAAATTTGGCGACCGTTTGCCAAATTAGCATACTAATTAATAGCACTAACTTCCACTGAGCAGACTACTTAACTTTTTTTTTTTTTTTTTTTTCCAGTTCGATCATATTTTAAACGAAATTACTCAGCACACAATACATTTTTTTTTTATTTGATCGTGTTTAGGAACTAAGTACTGAAATAAACTTGAACTGGAAAGATTAAAAATGTTTTTCTTTGTAATTCTGATTTTTTAAAAAAATCCAGACAAATTAAGTTAAGGAAAACTAAAATACGAGTGTTTATAAATAACTCTTGTCAACAGTAAACTTTCATATTTTATCCTTGGAAGACAGCACTTTCCTTTTAATTTACGGTTATTAAATTAAATTAAATTTCATAGCAGAAAATATGAAAATCGTTTCACTAACATGTGTTACGACTTCTAATAGTTATTTAAAAAGGAAATGAATCAACGAACTTACATGTATGGCAAACAACTGCATTCTGACCTTTTAGCTTAATCTCATTTGATATTTCAGCGGTACCAATAAGCATTAATGAATAATTAAAGCTTTGACACTGAAAATAGTTAAAAAAAAAAAAGACTTCTAAAACTAAACTTTGGAAGATTGATTCAAAGTAATTTATCTGTGGAATAGGAAATTATATATGAAATATAAGCATATATATAGATATATATGTACACACACAGGAAAAAAATGTCGTTTAATTAATTATGCAAAGCATTTTAATAAAATGAGAAAGAAACTCAAAAGACTGAGTGGTAAAGTTAATAAAAATATGTTTCTAAGGGATAAGATTGACTTCTCTTTTTGAACTTACATTAGTAGACTTATCTCGCTCGGCTTATCTTAGTAGAAATTCTCTAGGGCTTTGGCTTTATGAGTTTATGTATTTCACTTTCGAGATTTTTATCACACATTGATATTCGGATTGATGTTTGCGGCATATTATCGCTCTTTACATCGAGAAAATGACTCAAGCTACAATTAGCCTCGAATGTTATGCATTTAATAACACCTGTGGATTAAGAGAATTCAAGTGCATATATTTTTTTTTAATTGAGCTGAGAAGGACTGGATGTGTTACAATGAATCTAGTAATTTCTTATTTCATTGCTTGCATTCTTTTGATTTCGAAAGTGTAAGATTCAAAATATATATTGCGGATGTTCTGATTATATCTATTGTAAAATTAAAAGCTATATATAAATAAACTAAACACATTCTTTGTGAATAAGGAAAAATTCATTCTGCTTGAAGAGTTTTTCTTGTTCAGATAATGCATTTAAGAGTAAACAGTTATTAAATGTGAAATTTAACACACTAAATGTATAGAATGCAAATAAATATTCATGGGCACATTTAATATGACAATAGTATCGCAATTTTTACCTTAGTAATCTGAAAATTAGTTAGACTGTAGTTTTCAGTCTATGCAGCGCAATTTTTAAAATGTATGTGTGTGTATGTGTATAATATATATATATATAATGTGTACCGTTTTAAAAGCTAGTTTAAATGTTAAATTAAAATAGTTTAATCGAAATTAATACGAAGAACTTTACATACAGAAGTAAAGTTTTAAATAACAGTATGCAACTGTAGCACCACAAATGAAATTCATAAATGGCAATGAGAAACCACATTTTGATCCGTGGATATGTATTTCAAGTTCTTTTCAGTCTGACATAGTATTCGCAACATCAAACTAATTCTGATAAGCCATGAGTAATTCTAATTAAAATAAAATTCTATTTACAAAATGTTCATTTTTTTAGTACAGCTATAACTTTGCTTAAATATTAATAACATTTTTAATTTGCATTCATTTTTTTTATTTGTTGCATTTTATTTCTTTTAATAGTTTTTTCTCTCTGCAAAATAACAGCATTCATAATATTTTAAGTAGTATATTTAAGCCTGAATAAGTAAATGAATCTGGATGCTATTTATTCACGCAGATGTAAAAATATAGATATAATAATAATATACAATTGCATAATTTTATTGAGAATTTTTAAATTACGCTCCATAAATTTATGCAACTGTATTTAAAAATTGTAAGACAATTTTATTCTAAATGTATAGAAATATATGTTTTTGATGTGAACTGAATGTAGTACCTGAAACAAATTTTAAATAATAATTAGAAGACCAGGAGAAACACGCCGACGTGGAAAATAAAACAGGCAAATCGACAAACCTTGTATTCGGCGTAGATTTTGTAAAATCTGGATGAAGGACCCGTTTTGCTCTCGAAATCGATTGGGATTTTACAAAATCTACGCCGAATACAAGGTTGTCGATTGTTATGTAACATAACTGTTATAGAAATTGTAAATTTAAGTACATACCTTTACTTTACGATATGAAGCATGCTGACAAATGTAGTTCATTGAAACCAGAAACCGAGATTGATCCGTCCAAGTTTTGCGGAGTAGCCAACACGTGTTTGTATTTCTTTCAACCAGGTAGTGAAATCTTCGCAAACTGCTTATATTTGATCTAAGTTCGCAATGAAAATTTTCCGAAGAAATCGACGAAGCTTTAATTATTTTGTACAGGAAATTGCGTGGCAAATTGTTTTCAACCATCTTGCTTAAACCAAAGGTTGACATGATAGAAATATTACTGGAAGGCCGTTGGTCCATCCTAGAAGTCACTCCCTCGGTGGCTACACAGATGTGCACTTGTAAAATATACCTCTTGTACACACTTCGTCTACGCTCTTTTGAAACAACCTTGCCTCACGATGTCCAAAGCTCGACTCTACGGTCGCTTGTCATACGCTGAATCATAGTGAGAATATCCCTTCGGGTAAGAAACACAGTTGCAATCTCGAAACCGCATTCCAAGCCCCCTGCAAGAGTCCCTTTGTCTGAGAACTATTTCCTTGGACGGCGAGATAAGGAACATCTGCGTGACCTTGTCACAGTTGTGCTGTCTTCAGGAAAGCAAGTTCCCTACGCTTAAGAGAAAAATTGTATTTTTATCGTCTTTGATATTTTGTTTACATAAAAATATATGTTTTAATTAAAATAATAATAATTGAATTGTTATATTTATTATTTTTAGTGCTAATAAAATATAAAAATATAGATGCCTCGAATAAAGAGAAAACAATCCTTCACCAATGAATATGAAAGTAGTGATGACGAATGTATGACACAATAGATAATGAACTATGATTGAAGAAATGATGAAACGGAAGATGAAATAAATTTTACAAAAGCGTCTGAGCTATTGTTTTCGGTTCCTTTTCAAACCGAGACCAATTCTGACGAAGAAATTTAGAAGACTTATAAGCGATTAACGAGGATAGGTTGGTTTATTTAATTATGGCAAAGCACACTAGGGCTATCTGCCTAACGGGAGGGATGCCTTCGTGGAGGACTTTCTAAGGGAAACTGGCTCGTATACACGTTACACATGGGGAAAACCACGAAAACACCCATGCAGCTAGCCCGTTCGCGGGATTCGAACCTCGGACCGAACTACCAGTGTTCAGCGACTTTACCGCTCGGCCGCTGGTGGGCCGATTAACGACGATAGCAATGAGCAACTATCTATTTCTACATATAATAGGCAGTTTGTTGGAAATGATGAAACATTATGGGCAAATGTCACTGAAGAAGACAATTATCGTCATAACATAAAACTCTCAGTTGGTGAAAATGTTGTTGGGCCACAAGTTCCATCCAGCTGCACATCAGCTCTAGAATTTGTTGAGTTGTTTTTGGCTCCTACTCTACTAAAAAAATAGTGAAACTAATGCAGACGCAGCAAAAATAATATCATAGAAAACACTGAGCAAATATTCCATTTAGCAAAATTGGAAAGATGTAACTGAGAGTGAAATGACAGCCTTTATTAGTGTTATCATAAATATGGGCCTTGTTGTTTCACCAACTTTGGAATCATACTTGTCTCAAGCATTTCACTTGAAGATGTAATTTTTTTAGAAACATTTTTTCACACAAACGTTTTTTCCAAATATTTTGGTCACTACATTTGGAAATAATTTCACCAAACACTCAAAAGACGGGGACAATGATAGAAAGAGTGAGCAACTTTCTAGGTTACCTAAACCAAAAATTTATGGAAAATTATATACATCGTGAAAATTTGGATATGACGAATCTACAATCTCGTTCAAAGGGAAAATAAACCTTCCCATGTCTAACCCTAAAAACCAACAAAATGGGGACTTCGAGTTTATGTTTTAGCAGATTCTAAGACAAGTTATTTATACATATTGTTCCATATTATGGTAAAATTACAACAGATGGCTTAATTAGACCAGATCTTAATTTCACGAGCAAAATTGTGATGCGACTCTATCGAAATTTGTGAAATTCGATTCCTGAAGGTAAAGGGTATCATATTTTTACTGGAACATTCTTACTGGAACAGTCATGACCATATGAAAAGGATTGTCAGAACAAATAAAAAAAAAAATTAGCTGTTGGACATAAAATCGCTTAATAGATAAGGAAAGACGTTAGTAACATGGCGTGACAAAAGCGTAGTCACAATGTTTAGTACAAATCAATCTTTTATTTCCCAGCCTGCCAGGAAAAGATCAAAGACGACTGAAAATGCTAGTGAAAAAAAAAAAAAATAAATAAATCGACTATCATATTAGATTATAATAAAAATATGGGTGCAGTAGACTTCACCGACTAGTATGCTACATACTATTGTTTTATGAGGAAGACTTTGAAATTATGGCAAAAGTTATTTTTCTGGGGATTGAAAACTTCCATTGCGAACTTATACATTTTATTCAATGAATATGCTACGAAGTAAAATGTCAAAAAGATGTCACACAAAATTTAGAGAAAATTATTGATGAGTATAATCAAAGACTTTCATACTCCTACACAAAAAAACCCAGCCAATTCTCCACAGATGATACTATCCAATGTTTAGATGAGAAGACTTTTTTTTCTCATAAAAAACACAAGGACTATACCAGCGGTCGGGGAACCGGGGTAAATTACCCCAAATGGGGTAAAAATGAAATTTTTGTGAGTACAAAGTATATATTTTTAATTTGCTATTTTATAAACCTGTTAGTATTTTTTTCAACTTAAACAATTTGAAAATTTAATTCAAGTATATTACAACTTTTGTTTTTTTGTCTCCCTTCAGATGGCAGCAAATAGAAAAAGAACAACACGACGAATTCCTTAATTACGGTTTTATACAAATAGAAGACAATGGTACAATGAAACCAACAGTGTGTTGTATGTATGAAGGTACTGACTTCAGAATCGTTCAAAAAAAAAGTCAATTGAAGAAACAGTTAGATAATTTGCATTCACACCTGTCTTCCAAACCGCGAGAATATTTTGCAAATTTAGAAATATCTGTTAAAAGACAAAGATGAATAGCAACTTGTGTTTGGTACATTTGATCAGCGTTCAGCATCAAGGGCTAGCTTTGAAGTAGCCTGGTTGATTGCTCGAAATAAGAAACCATACACTATTGGTGAAGATTTGGTTAAACAGTGCTGTTAAAAATGGTAGAGATTAGTGTGGTCAAAAAGAAGGAAGAAGAAGAAACTGAATTCAGTGTCCTGTCTGCGAGAATTGTGAAAGAACGAATTTCTATATTAGCAGAAAATGTGAAGGAAACAGGTATTTTCGCATTAAAACAGGCTAAATATTTTGCTATTCAGCTTGATGAGACAACTGATTTTAGTAGCAATTCACAGCTAATGGTGGTATATGTTCTACAAAGGTGCAGATAATTTTGAAGAGGAATTGCTGTTTTGTCCTCTCGAGTTGAGATCTCGTGGAATGATATCTACAATAAAGTAAATGAATACTTCAATGCGCAAGTTTAAAATGGGAAAACTGTTATTTCTGTATCTTGGATGGAGCTCCAGTATGCTGGGTTCTTTAATGGTTTTCGCCTTTCGTAAAAAAAAAAAAAAAAAAAAAAAAAAAAAAAAAAAAAAAAAAAAAAAAAAAAAAAAAAACCAATATTGAAGTTACTCACTGTATGATCCATCGCCAGGCCCTTATGATCAAATATTTAGAACCTACACTGGAAGCCGTCATGCATGATGTCATCAAGATTGTAAATTTTATCAAGGGATATGCACTAAACACGAGGCTATTTCGTGAATTATGTCAGGACGGAGAAGCTGAATATACGGACCTACTTTATTATACAGAAGTAAGGTGGCTCTCTCGCGGAAATGTACTAAATCGAGTATAGACTCTCAAAACTAAAGTCGAAATTTTTATGGTTGATCAAAAAAAATTCTCGCAGATAAGTTTAAAAACTCTTCCTGGGTTGCATATCTCGCATATTTAGCGGACATTTTTGAGAGTATAAATATATTAAACAAAGAATTGCAAGGAATATTAATATCATTTCAGCGAGAGAAATCGTGTCAGCGTTTGGATTAAAGCTGCAATATTGGAGACAGAAAGTAGAACAGAACAAGATAGCTTCTTTTTCAAGGTTAGCTTTGTTTTTGGAAGATTGCGAAAATATTACTTTTGCTGACATCAAGGATACAATTGTAAGACATCTTATCAAACTCAGAAAGCGGTTTTTCAGATTACTTTCCAGATCTTGATACACGTACTGTCAGTTGGATTGTAGATCCTTTTAAATGTGAAATTGCTATGATACCAGAAGAACCTTCAGGTTGGCAGAAGCAATTCTTGAACTTCGATCTAATACTGAAGCACGTATTTCAATTTTAGAGTAAACCAAATCTGTCGTCTTTTGGATGTCAAAAGCTGCAAAGGCTTTCAAAATTGCACATGAAGAGGCGGTTAAAAAATTGCTGCCGTTGGAAACAACATATTTGTGCGAACAAGGCTTTTCCACTCTAACGAACATAAAAACGAAGAACAGAAATCGATTAAACGCCGAAGACTGTATTCAAATCGCTCTTACATCAAAAAGTCCCAATTTTGAAGCAATTGTATCGAACATGAAACATCATTTCTCCAAAACGTGAAGGAAGAATGTTTTCAATTATTCTTTTTTTTCTAATTTTTTCAATTCTAATTTTGGTTTGTACCACCATTATTTATTATTATTATTATTTGTTACAGTACCCCAAATTGTCAATCCTCAATTGTACGTATTACTAGGTAATTACATTGATAAATTGAATAAATGATGTTTAAATTAAATTTTTAGTTATTGTTTTCTTTTCAAAATTATCATGGGGGGCTTTAATATGAAAGATGCTAAAAAGAGGCGATTTTTTTTTTTTTTTTTTTTTGCTCTTCGCCATGGGGTAATATCAACTTACACAAAAATATTTTTGGGTAATGATTAAAAAAGTTCCCCGACCGCTAGACTATACGGTATGTTCCAATCGGAAAGTTAAAGGAGGGAGAAAAGAAACAACATTCTATTGTGATACTTGGAAACCCGGTTTTTATCCAGAAGAATGTTTTAAAAAATATCATACTTTGAAAAATTATAAATAATTAAGGTAAATAAATTGGTTAAATGTATAAATTTATAATTATTTACTATCCTACTACTAAATATAATCGAAAAAATATTTGTTACACACTTTGCGCTGTTGCAATACAACCTTTTATTGAGTTCCTCTTTTTTTATCTATTTGGTAAATGAATTAAAGAGTTGTTGGTTAATAAAAAATAAATAAATAAATAAAAATAAAAAAATAATAATAATGAGTGGAAAGGGTTAAAAATAAACGGAATATCCAGCCGTACATGCATGACAAATCGACAGCTATATTTGACCATTTAATTCACTCCTCATAATTGCTGTTCCTACTTTAAACACATAAACTATATTCAGTATTTGTTAGTTACAGTGATAAAGATATCGAAAAACACATAAACTACATTCAATATTTGTAAGTAGTTACAGTGACGAAGATACTGAAAGTAATAAAAAAGAATGATTATGCAAATTGAATTATGACATGTGATATAATTTAGAAGAATATTCCAAATT